TCTGGCACAAGGAAGTCTTAAAATCCCAGGAGGATTATTGAGCAGCTTTACAGTCCGCACAAATGTGTAAAAACAAAAAAGAAAGAAAATGATATAAAAGTTTCTTTAACTGACAGGACCCTATTCACTGGCATTAATATCTCACTCATTTTCAAATAAAAATACACATTTAAACTGTATACTCAGTCTGTCATAACCACTTTCAATATATTTTTGCAGCTCATGGCACAGTGTCAGCAGATCTCTTGCTTGCCAAGCTGCTGACAGTCTTCAGTAAACTCCCCAAACTTCAAGCACTCACTCTACATAACTCACACTGACATAACACTACTACAACATGCACATGCGCAAACTTTCTTTTGAAAAAGAAGTGTGGAAAACAGGAACCAACAAGAAAAGACCTTATACAATTTCTATAACACCAGATGTAACCACTAAAAAAAAACTTCTATTAGTTTAATTAAAAGTGAAAAGTAAAGTAGTTGAAAATCAGTTGTGTAAATATTCACTTCAATTATCCAATCATGTGAAAAACAAATTCCTGTTTACTGATTCTTCTGCATGTGATTGGGTATTTTATGTGAACAGGAGTTTACTTTTCACATAATTGGATACTTGAATAATGAAAATTCCTTAAGAAAATGGGCCCAATTATGTCCACAACTTTATGCATTTATGTTAATAACATATAATTATTTACATCTTTGGCAGAAGGCAGTGCATACAATCAATTAATAAGTGCTTCATCTCTCTGTAATATTTGCTTTATTGCTTGATGCCAATGATATCTTTACTTCAAATGTCCATGTAGAGTCTAATGAAGAGAGTACGCCAAGAAACTATTTTCACATGGCTTGTGGCAATAGGGATTTAAACCACAAACATCTTCAAACCCAAGCTTCTAAAAACACGAAAAAGCAAACTTTTGACATAACTTTAATAGCTTAGTTTAATTTTTTCTATTTTATATGTTTATTTTTTTTAGAAAGAGCATTCCAGTCCATAAAACCTTTTACTTTATGTACCTAGTCAACATCAGTAGCACTATTTTTGAATGAAAGCTGTAACTGTTTGGGCTGTAGTCATTTTACATTGGCTCAAAGTACATTGCTGAAGCTCTGTGACAGGATAAAGGATCACATGATGATCTCTTACCTAGCATGCGCACACATCTGGCATTCTGGTCTGGATTATCAAATGAGATTTCTCCACACCTCTGAAAGGACAAACATAATTAAGCTTGGTATGTTGATCAGAAAATGTTAAATACGAACAATAAGAATAATGATAAAAAACACCGAAACCATAAGGTAAAATTACCCTACGGCAAACAGTCACATTTCTGATTATTGTACTCAAATCATCCAAGAAATTATTTCTGATTTCTTACTGTCTTTTACTGCCTGAACTCTGTTGCTCTTTGCTCTGCTTTGGTAATAATATAAGTTTGAAGTGCCAAAGGTAGTAACCCAGAAATGATGTGAGCAAGTAAACAGCACTTTCCGTACCATCACTGCACTCCTCATTATATTACACAAAATTTAACATCAAAAAATATTAGTGCAGATATTCAGGGGGCAGTGCTAAAAAAAAAGTAATGGCTAATTTCAATTTGCAGAACTTACTTTAAAGTAGAACTAAAGCTACTATAACTACTATAAGAACTATAAAACTACTATTTTTTTTCCATTTTGGATAGAATAAGCGAGGATTATAACCACTATCATTTTTTTTTTTGCCCATTAGGGACATAGCTAAAACAAAAACAAGAAGTGAGAGATAATCCCCACAATTAAGGGAATCCCTTGGGGACCCCCAGATCACCAGAACAGGTTTCCCCTTTGGAAAATTTCCCCTCTGTTACTTTTCTGGGGACAACTCAAAATTTGGGGTTCTTTACTTTCTTTTTCGATGATAATGGTAAACAGGACAAATAGAGAGGGTGAATCTCTCTACCCAGGACACAGACAGCAAAAAAAAACCTGATAGGTGTTCTAATCCCTCTTCACTCTGTCCAAATCCAAAACAACAAAACAAATTGCCTTTAGTTATACTTTAATAAACCAGATGACAATCAAAAAGATTATGATTGGTTATGATACAGATCTTTGCACTTAGCATTCTATTTCTTGCACTATTTTAATAAATACGTCCAAGGTTCTATCCAGGTATGCTGCCTTGCAAAAACTGTCATAGAAATCTAAAAATGTAGATGATAGGAAAATGGCTTAAAGAATGTTTATCAATTCCTCAAACTCTGAATAGTCAAAAGGTATGCCCAAAGGGTTCCTGGGTAAAGGAGCTGTTTTTGTGTTTCAGTATAGATAAAGGTAAAAACATGTATCATAGGGGATGAAAATATGCATGAAATATACATACAGGGCTAGTGGTAAAATTAGGTGAATCAATCATGGAAAAAATTAGGGATTCTTGTAGATTACAGACCTAAAAACAGCAGACAATGCCACTCTGCAGTGTGTAAAGCTCGCAGAAACCATTTTGGGTTAAACTCCATATGGACTCAAGTGAAGACAATTTTGCCCTTACTCAAAGCTTTAGTGCAAACTAAATTGAATATGCAGTTCAGTTTTGTTTACTGGTTAACAAAAAATGTAGTGGAATTGGAAAACTAAAAGAAGGACTACATTAAAGGAGAGGTAGGGTCAAAGTTCTTTTAGCCCTACTTCTCCTGGGGGCACAGGAGTGCACTTCATTCTGTACTCCTGTGACCCGTTTTCAGCTGACAGTGCGCTAAAGTCTACTGTCAGCTGATGCCACTCAGCAGGTCAAGGCTCTGGATCTATCCCGACTTTAATGTTGGGATCCACCCAGATACCTGGATCTGCAGCTGGCTCAGCCTCTCAGAGAGTCCCTGGGAAACTGAGCCAATCACTCCTGCCCCCTGCACAGCCTGGTGCTCTAGTGAGCGTTGGAGGGGCAGAGCAGAGTGATGCTGAACCGGTGGAAATTCGACCCATCTATGGCTGGCTTTAGGCTCTGCTGTATGCATTTGTGAATACAAGCAACATGCCAACACAAGTAAAGAGATTACATCACTCTTCTTCTACTTCCCTATTGTTCAATCACAAGGCGAGGGCGGGCTAGTGTCTATACAGTACTGCTTAACTGCAGTAGAGAAAAGTCTGTGCTGTCTAGCAAGGCTAAGGACATACATGGTCAGCGTACTAAGGACATTGTGTTCTGACAGTAGCATCTGCCCCCGTCAGTATACACTGATCAATGGCTGCAGCTAATTGACTGATTGATCAAAGTTTAGCATGTCCCTACGAAAGGAGTCCATCAAACAAGCCCATACAGTTATCAAAATGTAGTCCCTGTAGTCATGTGGTCCCTGCCGAACCGTCCAGATTATGAGCAGTGTATGGCCAGCTTAAATCTCAGAACTGGCTGTACAAAATTACAATCCATGGGTAGATAAAGCAGCTCTCTGTTTGCATATGCATCATATATATTATAAACATTATATCCATTTCAATTGTATAACTGTTACACTAGCATTTGTCTTTTAAATTATTCTGATATGTCTCCCAATGCATGTAATCTAACATTAATGGCAAAGCGATGCCCGTAGCAAAAAAAAAAAAAATAGCGGAGGGCAGACATGACATGTGAATAGGGTAATAAAGACAGGAGAGGGTTAAGGATAGGCTGGCGAGGCTTTAAAATTTGCCTGATTGGTGATTCTGTGGTGTGGGGTGGGGTCTTGAGCACCTTTGGGAGTGGCGTAGGGTCAAACATATTCAGTACAGGGGGTGAAAGACAGAACAAGAAACTTCCTTCCCACTCTCCCTTGTGTTTGTTCAAGGTCTTCTGGTTCCTGGTCTGTTATGACACTTGGGCAGTTTGTTGGTCTTTGAAGCTAAAGTGAATGGTTGGGACCCCCCTCGGTGGTATGCTGTCCTCGGGTGTATTCCAGTTACCAAGGTGGCTGTTGTGCACTGCGGATTGTGTGTTTTGTCTCAGCCGATGGGTTGCGGCTGGAGGCTTATCATTACTATTATGGTTAAGGTTCTGCAGGGAATAAACAGTATTGTTTTTGTGCCTTCTAAGACCAACAACTTTTATTGTTATGTTTCTGTTTTAAGGAATGTTTTGTGTTATTTAGGTTATATTTTTAATAAAAGGCTGTGATGGCCATTTTACTCCAATTGTTGGTTTTGGTCTCCTTCATTTGTATAAGTAGAGTTGGGGGGGGGGGAGCTGTGTAGGAGTATGCATCAGTAGCTATTGTTTTAGTTTAGTAGTACATCTATTCTACACTAGTAAAGTGTCAGTACCTGTGATGTTTCTTCATGACTAAGGAGGACACGGCTGTTGCTCTCTCACTAAACTTTTTTTCTTTTTAATTATTGTGTAAAGTAAATGTATGTCTTACAGAAATTTCTGCTGATCTTTAAAAATTGGAGAAAAATTAGTGGAACTGCTTCCCCAGCAACAGGTACAATTACAGATGTTATTTTTCTAGTGTAGGTAGTTTTCTATCCTGGGGCATGAAAGTTTGTTTTTGTTTTCTGGGACCCTGATTAGGGGTCTGCCACTGGGGTCCTGAAAAGTGTGATTGCCAATAGAACACAAGCAAACCAATGTCATATCTTAAATTTTGGGACCCTTCCACCACATATTGAGTTTGGCACCCCATTAACCACTAGCCTACAGGGCACTTATACCCCCTTCCTGCCCAGGCCAATTTCCAGCTTTCAGCGCTGTTGCACTTTGAATGACAATTGCGCAGTCATGCAACACTGTACCCATATGAAATTTTTATCATTTTTTGTGACAGATAGAGCTTTTTTTGGTGGTATTTAATCACCTCTGGGTTTTTTATTTTTTCTTAAACAAACCAAAAACCACTGAAAATTTTGGAAAAAAAAGTTTTTTCTTAGTTTCTGTTATAAAATTTTGTAAATAAGTGATCTCCTTCACTGATGTGAGCTAATGAGGCTGCAGTGATGGGCACTGATAGGCTGCACTGATGGACACTGATAGGTGGCACTGATGGGGAGGCACTGTTAGGTGGCACTGATGGGCATTGACAGGCATCACTGATGGGCACTGAAAGGCAGCACTCATATATAGCACTGTTAGGTGGCACTGACTGGCACTGTTAGGTGGCACTGACTGGCACTGTTAGGCAGCACTGACTGGCACTGATATGTTGCGCTGATAGGTGGCACTGACTGGCACTGATGGGTGACACTGAAAGGCAGCTCAGGTGGGCACTGATATGTGGCATTGATGTGGCACTGATGTGGCACTGATAGGTGGCATGGATGAGCACTGAGAGTTGGCACTGATGGACACTGACAGGTGGCGCTGCTGGGGCTACACAGATCATCAGGGCACACTGATTACCAGTACTCTGATGATCAGTGTACATGTCCCCCCCGAGGAATGCCGATTACCGACTCTCCTCTCCTCACGTGCTGTCAGCGTGACAGCTCGTGAGGAGAGGAATGCCAATAACTGGCATTTCCCTGTTTACATGTGATCAGCTGTGATTGGACACAGCTGATCACATGACCGAGCCAACATCTTTGGCTCTTTCCATGGATCGGTGATCCGCTGTGTCCGAGGGACACAGCGCACCGTTGATCGCCTTGCTGCGCGCTCCGGGAGCCGCGCATGCGCGGTTAGAATGGGAGGACGTCATATGACGTCTTCCCAGAACGGGAGTACCGCCTTGCGTCCATCATATTACTATATGGCGGGCGGGAGGTTAAGTGCTGACCTACAGGGTAAACACCACTTTGTTAGAATACATGAAAGAAAGGGCCAAACTACTGCTATTTGCTTATTTTAATTATATGTTATTTTTCTCTGAGTGACATCATGCTGGCAGACCCAGACTTCTCCACTAACGCATTTCACCATAATGTAGGGCTTAGTCTGGGTTAGAGGATAAATGCTACTGTCTTAATGGTCATAATGTGCAGAATTACAATATAAGAGGCTGCAATGACATAGATTACTTGATGGCTCTGGAATCCACACTAATACTGAATATGACACCTGTTATTTTATAACACCTATTATATCAGCTGACAAAACACATCAATAGGTTTATATGTTAATGATACACTATCTTATATGATAATCACCATAAATATACCCCCTTAATACTGTATATAATCTAGCAATACTGTGTTCATTTTTTGCAGAGAATGTCAACCCAAAGAACACATTTGATACCTAAAACCCTCTCAGCCTTCAGCAATATCCTTGTTTAAGTAATCTCTTGGAAGTTCTCCAGATTTTTGGAACGACTGATATTTATGCTGAACAAAAGCCTGTTTATGTAACACTTTTCAAATGAATAATGCTTCTGAATCCATAACTATTAATTATATGCTATTTCATACTAGAGCAATTGTAAAAAGAGATTAAATCTGTGCTTCTCTGAATAAACCACAGATAAAATTGAGATTACTTCAAGATCTCTGCAACAGAATAAAAACCACTAAGGGCGAACATTTCACGGCCGCAAAATACCATATTTCATGTCATCCATGACAAAACTTTCTTCTTCTTTTATTTTATATATTTAACTATGTTTAACTATGTTACCATATAAAATGCCTAAAAGTTGTAATAGCAGATCTGGTAGCACACTACACAACCTGAGTGTCTACTATCCACATAAACATAAGTTTAAAGCTGAGCTCCACCCAAAAGAGGAACTTCCACTTTAGGGTTTAGTCCCCCGCTCCCCGTTAAGGATTGGCACTTTTGGGGAGTGTGTATGTGGTGGAGGCGAATTTGATAGGTACCCGCTCCCACTGCTGGTGAGATGGTGATCAGAAGCGAAAATTGTCCTCCCGTGCATGAGCAGTGGGCACCCGGCTGTGGCAAGCTATCACAGCCCGGTGCCCACATTGAAGATGTGCCAGGCAGAGAAAGATGGACGGTGAAACCAGCCATGGTGAGGACACCGCTGGACTGAGGCACAGGGAACTGTCTGTATTCTAAAAGTCAACAGCTACAGTTTTTGTAGCTGCTGCCTTTTATTTTTTTCATTCACCTGGAACTCCGGTTTAAAGTGTTACTAAACCCAGGACCCTGCATTCACTATATCTGGTCTCCCACAGTACACGGGGCATGGAAATGCAATTATTTTGGTAAATATAAACTGCTAAATACTTTTTCCCATCAGCAGCTAGAACAGTCTTGTGACTTCTATCAGTGTTCAGCAGAGCACTGGTTAAGGCGTGTACGAGTTTTCTGCTCTAGGAGGATGCAAACCCCCTGGCCTCTGTCTGGACAGTGCTGATTGGCCCTGATCACATGCACTCTACCAAGAGAAAAAAAAAAACCTCTCTAGCAAAACACACCAAACTGAGCATGTGCATAGTGTCTCCACAGGATATGTCTTATCAGGAGATAAGAGGGGGGCACTGGAAGAAGGGGAGGATCAGAGAAGTCAGGATCAAACAGCATTTTTGCACAGTGCAGAGGATTAACCCCTTAGGTTCTACAGTGAGTATAACAAGCATGCTTTACTGCATATACAGGCTACTTTTACGGTTGTGGGTTTAGTAACACTTTGAAATTAGCTAAAGAAAATGGTCATAATTATTTGGAAACGTTATATCTATTCAACAGTGCAAGCCACTTATTGTCAGCTGGTTAGTCTGAATAAACATATGTTTAACTGGTTAGTCTGAATCAGTGCTCCAAACTGGCCAAATGTGGCACTGTTTCTCCCATTGATAGAAAGCACTATTCCTCCCACTGACACTAATAATGAGGCACCATTCCTTCCACTGACACCAACAGTAGGGAACTATTCCTCCCACTGACACCAATGTTGGGGCACTGTTCCTTCCACTGACATTATTGATGGAGCACTATTCTTCCCACTGACATCAATGATGGAGTATTATTCATCCTCCTACTAACCACAAGCATTATGTCAATTTTTTACTCCCTCTGACCATCAAGCCTGAGGGACTGGCCACTTCGGCCACCATAAAGACTGAAGAACAGTAAACTGGCCCTTTGTTCAGAAAATATGGAGACCCCTGGTCTGAATGAACATGTTTAGATTTAAATTTGCCTAATCTGTAGTGAATTCTGACTCATCATCTTTTTTCTTGATCTGTTGTGGAATGTAAAACCTAGCATGTGCAGAGGTGACCATAAATGCTGGGGAAAAAAGCATGTTCACTACCACCACCAAGGGGGAAACACACAAATTAAATGGTCCCTTAGTGAAAAGAAAAGCCCCAAAATGCATAGTGGTCCCTCTCTTCAATACACTCCCCCAGAGATACAACAATGTTAGAACATACAATTGGACTGCTGTCCAATATACAGTATATGTATATATATATATATATATATATATATATATATACATATACATATATCCGTATTAAGACAAATAAATAAAAGAAATAACAACGGTCCATCATGTCTGAAGAGCACCAAGCAGCACAGGATATCTTTGTAAAGCTGTAAAGCTGATTGCTGATGCTGCATTGCTTTCCACTGGGTGCAGCTTCTGCAGCATGGCTGTATTCCCCATTTCTAACAAGTGAATGAAGGTGTTGCACTGCTCAAAACAAACAATATTGTGAAAATGAACAGTGAATAAATCAAAGGACAATCTCCAAAGTGACTATAGTCCACACAAATGATGATGGAAAAAAACTCTTCAAACATTCCAGAAAGAGAAGAGGATCTTCCTACTGATGACTGCACCCAGAATCCCAGTGCTGCAAATCCTCAATACACGTGAATCACCACAGTGAACATAGAGGTCCAGGTCCAGGTTTTTTTTTTCAAAAGTTTCAGGTGTTTTTGTTTTATTTAGCAAAAAATAAAAAACTCAGTGGTGATTAATACCACCAAAAGAAAGCTCAATTTGTGTGAAAAAAATTATAAAAATGTCATATGGGTACAGTATTGCATGACCGCGCAATTGTCATTCAAAGTACGACAGCGCTGAAAGCTGAAAATTGGCCTGGGCAGGAAGGGGGTATGAGTGCCCAGTATTGAAGTGGTTAAAGTGCAAAAAACCTGCATACACATTTGGCATAAAATATTTAGAAAACATCATAGTATGAAATGTAGCAAGTGCTATAAAGATATATGTACATAAGCAGCTGAAAACACTAAAGGTACACCATAAGCCTTCATTAAAATCTCAAAATAACAAAATAAAAAGTGCAGCGCTAAGAAAACCAGTATTAGAATTCAAATCAGGCAATAAAATGGTAAGTAATAAATGCGTATTGTCTTAAAATGCCTAGGAAACGCATGTGCATATGATCCCTTACATAAAACGCAACTTCTGATGCGTTTTGAAACATAAATTGTCATAAACATCTCTGTAAAATCTTCCCAATAATATTCAGGATAATCTCCAGGTGATGAAGTACAATCCCAGTGAATGAATCCTCAGGAGGGTGTGCTAATGAATGTAAGAAATGCGCACTCACTAGAAGCGCTTAGGTAAGGCACGTTGTATCATATACTGTCCATATCAGTCAGGGATCCCTTCTTAGGGTGGTCCAGAATGCAGCCTGGGAGTAGATGGCCTTCCTTGAGTTATAGGATACAGCCAGGGTAAATGAATCAACCTCGTCCAGGCTCTGGGATACTCACCGGGGATTGCTGGGAAGTTAAAATGCTAGGTGCAGAGCAAAGAAAAGGGGTACTGACGCATTTCATACTACAAGTACATTGTCAAAAGGGGTATGCCTGGCTTTTTAAGACAACAGGCATTTAATTGCCTGATTTGAATGCTTATACTGGTTTTCTTAGGGCTGCACTTTTTATTTTGAGATTTAGAAAACATCATTTGACTCAAAAAAACTTGACACTACACTATGGATAAATATAGATAGATACATTTGTATAGGCTTTTGAATTAACCGTGTATTATGTGTTACCAATAGATCCTCTAAAAGGAGGTTATCTACAAGTGAGAAAACCAAAGAAGACTAAAGGCCACAGAATTGGACTGGTTGAGGCAGGATCGGCTCATAGTCAGCAAAACATTCTTCTATTTATACCTATACACCATCTTCAATGTCAAGTTTGTCTGTGAGTGACTACGTGACACATCAGGCATGTTCAGAGGAAACTCTAGGTGCTGATATAGGCAGACATGGGAGTGTGACCAATTCTGAATATAACAAACCCACTTCATGTTCAGATATGCCTTCAACAGCTTTTATCTTATGTGCAGACATGCCTTGTTTAAGTACTGCATCTGCAAAATCTGTAATGCCCTGTTCTGTTAGGCCTTCCACACCACATTGATAAACCCGCAAGTGCTGGTGGTTGCACTCCAGAGGGGGGACCTGGTGCTGGATTAGGATGCAGGTGAACTAACAGGTTAATAGTCCAGAACCTTAATGTAACACCCTGCTGTAATGTCAGCTGCAGGATGTTAAAACCAACACAAGATGGCAGATTTCGGCAATTCAGTGGCACTCACACTCTGTAGAGCAGCGGAATGCTGAAT